GGCACAATAGCCTAGTGGTTAGCTCGCTAACATATGGTGTAACACGTCGAATCCTGGCTTGAGGACATTTCCCTATCTGTCAACCCATCCTTTTCCCAGGATTCTCCTGCATTTTACAGTTCTATCCCGTTGTCTTCCCGTGATGGTATTTTCCCGTATTTCTAATGTATTTTCAGTCTTTCTCTGAAGGGGAGCAAGAAACATTAAAGAGCCGATCCTCCCTATACGCAACCCATACCGCCAAACCACCAGGGGTCGCCTCTTGCTTTTTAATGTGAGTCTGTTCTGTGCTTTTGTTTTATTAAGGCATGAAAACACTTTATAAAACGGTGCGATTTCCTTCCTTTTCATTACAGGTGCCATCGCAATCCTCAAAACAGTCATATAGCGGTGCGTGACTGTCAGCTGATGCGTTCCAAGTTTCCCAACGGATTCTGTACACAAGATTTGAAGTGGAGCGAAAGTCTGGGTTTTGGGTGTGTGTTTGAACAGAGATGTACACATAATTAATAATAATAACATCTAAAGATGTCGATTTTGGTGAGGGTTTTTTTCCAAACACAACTAATTTCGTCTTGAATGAGCATAAAAAGTTAGGAAAGCAGTCGAATGCCTTCATTATAACGTTAGACGTGTGCATTTTTAAAGTGACACCTCTGTTATTCAATGTAATTAAATGAAAAAAAATCTAAATAAATAAAATTCATTGGCTGCTTTAATCAGAATGTGTGAGTTATACAGTGAGGAAACGGCTAATGAGATTTGATAGCTTGATTCTATTATATTTATAATAGCTATTAAATAATATTAATAAACATATTCCTGACCCTTTAACTGTTTATTTACCATGAAACGGCTCCTAATGAGTATATTTAGCAATTTTGGGATTTTTAATTCCCTTATTATGGTATTATATCCTTTATTTTCATATCTCAATATAAAAATGAGGGATATACCACCCCCCCCCCCCCCCTCTCTCTCTCTCTCTCTCTCCAACTTCGCTTCCTCAATACTTATTCATTCATTTTCTTTTCGGCTTAGTCCCATTATTATTCTGGGATAGCCACAGCAGAATGAACCGTCAACTTATCCAGCACGTTTTTACGCAGCGGAAGCCCTTCCAGCCGCAACCCGTGTCTGGGAAATGTCTCAATACTGTCCCACTAATAAAGCCATAAAAGGCCAAAAATCTTTAACAAAAAAAAAACACCCAAATACCAAAGCGTCCACTTTCACTCATCTTCAAATCACACATACAGATGCTGATCTGAGAACAGTGTCTTTATAAGGAGCACGTCCATCACCTGTGCGCTTCGCATATGCAGAGCAGAAGCATCGCTGCTGCACAGGGGTGTGTTTCCCAAAACCATCGTTAGCCAACTAAGTTTGCAAGTTTCGTCATTACAAATATAGTTTGTTGATTTGGTGTTTTCTAAATCTTACGTTCCAACAAACATCCGCAAACTGCGCTGCAAACTTGCACGCTTGCAACTACACCTCTAGAGCTGCAGTTAGAAGCAGAGTAGAGGTGAGATCAATCTAACTCATTCCTGTTGTTCAAATAACTGAAGCTCTGCACAAGACTTTTGGCCAGCGGAGAAATTAAAAGGATCGTGCCGAACTGAGTCTGGTTCTCTCGAGGTTTTTTTTTCTTCACTTTCCTATTGGTGAAGTTTTTTTTTCCCTCTACGCTAGAGGTCTGAATTCTCGCGGCTGTCCCGCGGGCGCCGCAGGACCCGACCAGATTTCTGCGGCGCGGGAATAAATTTCTGAATAAGTCGCGGGAGCGGTCGGTAACGGGTTTAATTTGGGACGGGAGCGGGCTGTCAAGCAATATCGCGGATATTGCTATGCGAATGAGAGAGAGAGAGAGAGAGAGAGAGAGAGTGCTTTGCCTGTGTGTGTGCTTGGTGCTTGTGTGTGTGTGCTTGGTGCTTGTATGTTAGTGCGCGCGCGTGAATGGGAGACAGAGAGAGAGAGCGAGCTTTCCCAGATAGCAAAATACACTCGGGCCAGTTCCGGCCAGATTAGTCGCCTGCCGGAGACTTACCACTCGGCCCGGCTCTGGCTGCCGGACTCCGGATGCTTGTGGACTCACTGCTCAATTCCGGGCCAGATGCGGCGGCCGTAAGCGAGCCAACGCTGCCGCATCCGCGCCGGAATCGGCCTGAGAGTAATGTGCGCTGCGGCCCGGAGCTGGCGCGACTCAGTATTTATATACCTTTTATATAAAACCTTTTGGTATTACATTGGTACTTGATACATGGTATTACAAGCCTTTGAGTTGATATAACAGCAAACGCCTGTGTGTTTGCTTGGTGCTTGTTTGTGTGTTAGCGCACGCGTGCACGTATGAGAGAGAGAGATTTGTCTCTGTGTGTGTGTGTGTGTTTATACAGACAGCTTGGCTGTCTGGACTGTATAGCTGCGGGAGCGGTCGGGTTCGGGCTAAAACCTGGCGGGTGCGGGCGGGACCAGGATTCAAAATTTAGTCCCACGC